TGCATGCGACCGCATCGCGGTTGTACGATGGACTTATATCAATGCGCAAAGCGCGCCCTGAAAAAAAAATTGCTGAAAATAAATGGCACAATTTAGAAGTTACTATTTTTATTACGGTTTTATTAAAACAAAAATATCATTAGTGGAGAAGAAATGTATTTTATCTGAAAATTAGGCCTTAAATATTAGTTTCGAGGAGATATATCGGTAAGTCACATTGGTCTTTTTTATTGTTTATCATTGAATTATTGAGTGGAGTATCCGGGCTTACGTCGTCCACGACAACCGATCATCTTCCTGCTCAATGTCGTCAACTTAACGATATATTTAGGCCTAGGCCTAGCTTATTACAAACAATTCCTACCGTACTACGACAGTAAAAATCATGATTCGAACACGTTATTTCTTTACTACGATGTTAGTTCGTAATAAACAAACGTCTGTTTTGTACATGTGTTTATTCAGTAACTGTTAATTCAACGCTTTGCGTAGAATTCAGAATAAACTATTTCTGAGCTCTCAACGATGTCAACAGTTTCAACGACAACGCCAACGAAAACGCCAACGCGTTGTCAACGAAAACGCAACGGGTTGAATGCGTTGAATTTTTGCAATAAAACTGGCCGGTACTGTATAAACATGACCACAAAAAGAGGTCATTAAAAAGAGGTTTTGGTTATATTATTCATATTCTTCTATGAAAAGATTTGTAGGTTTACAATTCAGAAAAACAAGTCTATAAAAAATAAAAGAATAATTACTTCTTATCAAGTCTACACACAAGTTCATACTCTACGAGGTATGTTGGTTTAGGCCCTAATAAACCTCAACGATATGATTTTTGTGTATAGTAAAGATTAAATCAAGCAAGGATATAACCTAAAATATATGAAAGTACTTTGAGTACACAGTACAGTACTAACTTAAGAAATTGAAATTGCTAATACAGACGTCCATTTTACGTACCCCTTGGTAATCAACTCTGCCGGTCCCAAGTCTGGATGAAAAAAGAGAAGGGTTGGGTGTGGGGCTAGCTACCCCTCACTGTAAAAAGAGTTTATGCTACAGAAACGTTGACGGAAGAAACTAGAGAACCTATCCTGGAAGAGGAAGGATCCTCGTTCCGGAGGAATTTTGGCGCCATGTTGTGAAAGCCGGGATCTGGAAGCTACCTGGCCGAATTCCCTTCTCTCAACCAGGAACCTTATTACCATTGGTACATGGACTGTGATGACTTTGTACCAGGTGGGTAAAACAGAGCAAGTAGTGGCGGAAATGCGTAACTACAACCTCGTATTGCTAGGAATAAGTGAAACTAGATGAACTCAGTCTGGAGAGAAGAATTTGATGAATGGATAACTACTACAGTACTTTATTCAGGACATGAACAGGTCAATGCCCCTTGGTACCAAGGTGTGATCGTAAATTGAAAAATTTGTAAACTAGATCGGCCTAGCTATCCCCTGCCATTGAGCGCCGATAGGCTGACAGTGCCTAGCATGAACCGACAGTGCAGCAGCGTGGTCTACCGCGCTATAGCCTAGCTGAAACTCTTATTCAAACTGCTGTATGTTTTATGGACCTTTCTATGGTGTTCTTTCTAGTTCAATTCAATTAAATTCAATAAAACTTTATTATCGCACTTGTTTAACATGCATTTCGTGATCATATTTAGCATTCCCGATGTCAGCAAGTTGCTGAACCCCAACACTCTCATTCATCATCGTAAACATGTGTGCTTAATCCGACGACACTTGTGTTGGTAGTACGTTGTTCTGGTTAGGTTTATTACATTAATATAGTGATCATTATACCAGAAATGGTAAAGATCGACTGTATTAAATAAATACAATAAACTTGATTTTATTTAAAAAAAATATACATTATCACTTTGTAAAACGTGCACAATCGGACTTTTTTTATGGTATTAATCGGTCAATGATGACATCATCAGGGGCAAATACCATTCGTAAAATCAACTATTCATAAATGGACGTTCGTAAAATGGACATTTTACTGTATATATACAAATTATGAAAACAAGACTAAAATATAAAGCCTATTTTAGGATGTGATTAAATGATGAAATTAAATCTAAGGTTTCTTCAGATCTACTGATTCTATTTTATTTTCTTGTTTGTTTTAGAATATATTTTCTAATGTTCCCAAAATGAAATAAATAACTTAATATACAAAAATTATCACTGGCTCAGAAAGTATCTTTAAATGTAAAAATTCTGAATAAATTATCAAAAAAATAGGCTCAACTGAACATCTGTTCTGTCTGAAATGATTCTTCACAAATAAAAATCATTATTAACTTTCATAGGATACTTTCCTTATATGGATGTTTTTTTTTCTAAATGTTTGAAAAGATCTATTTTAGATAAACATAAAACATCTATATATGTATTGCTCCACTGGGCCTCTTTATGTGAGATTTAATTCAACTAAAGCAATGTGAAACAGGAACAAGCAAGAATTCTTATAATAGCCTGTTTAATAAATCAATAAATGACTTATTTGTACAGTACTTAATTTTTGTTATGATGCTATTAAAGTAAATCAGTGTCATTAGCCATAGGCCTCCACACATGAATATTCACAATAGAAATTGGACTTCAAACAGAAAGGACCACACTAAGAGCTTGAAAAATTTTATATCTATCACATATCAGTAAAAATATAATATATAAAATGTTTGTTTTGTGAACATTAAAATTTTTAAATAATAACAAATTTTTGTCAGTTACTAGTTGTACTATAACAAAGAATGGAATTATACATAATATATTTAATAAAATGAGTAAAATTAATTATATGCTTAGTTGAAATTTATGTAGAAGTTTGGATACATTACAAACGTGAATAAGATATAATAATGTATACATACATATAATAAGATGTGTATAAGA